ATATGAAAACTAGTTTTATTTTGATGTTTTTGCATAATTTAAGTACCTAGTTTTCTGAAAATCACCAAATGAAAATGGGCTTTTTTAATTTTTAAACATTTTTGCCCTGATTCAGTTTGACATGTCCATGCCGAAATCTACACATGGAATAGCATTGCCTTCGACTTTGCGTTTTTGAAATCTGACACCCTATGAAAAAAGCTGGAATAAAGTATGTTTAAGCAAAAAAGCCCATTCTCATTTGATGATTTTCAGGAAATTACGTACTTAAATTATCCAAAAACATCAAAATAAAGCTAGTTTTCATATATTGTGCATGAAATATTTAAAAGTTAAAAAGTTTCCGCGCTTGTAAAACTGCGACAATAAACTATCGCTTGCTTGCATTCGATATGGCATTGTGTAGATTTGGCATGCACATATCAAAAATAAGGGCAAAAAAATGTTTAAAAATTAAAAAAGCCCATTATCATTTGATGATTTTCAGAAAATTACGTACTTAAATTATCCAAAAACATCAAAATAAAGCTAGTTTTTATATATTGTGCATGAAATATTTAAAGGTCAAAAATTTTCCGCGCTTGTAAAACTGCGACATCGCTGTGAACATGCAATTTGGAGTCTTTTGGCGGACATTTCAGTTGCATATTGTAAGTTCGAAAAGAGAAATAAAACAACAACCTTTAACATGGTAAAAACGGAATTTTCTGCTTGTTCCTTATAATTGAATATTTTCCCTAACTTTTATATTGCATTTGAATGCCTGAATATGTTAATGAAAATGTTTCCAATGTTTTCTAAATTGACAATTGTTTTCTAACTTTATCAAAACAAGGTCACAAGTTGTGTCATTGTAAATTACGCAAGTGACCTGGTCATAAATCTTTAAATTGAAAAAAAGCCCACAAAAGCCCATTTTCTAACCTTTTCAGATCGAAAGTATAACTAATTATAGATAATTTAAAGGGTTGAAGTTAACTTTTTTTCCACTCGGTCTGGCTAAAAAACTCGACTACAATTTGTCATTGCCTGAAAAATGTAAATATATTTTATGATAAAATCGCTATGCCTTCAAATAATTTCACATTTTAAAAATGCTTTTCCAATTCCAGCGATGTAATTTGCAATACTAATTAATTGCCAGAGTCTCTATTTTATAACAAGTTAATTTTTTTCCATTTTAAGGATAAATTTACCTTAAAAATTTGCACTTTTTGATTGCCCTTTAAATATTTTTGTGTCTTGTTTTTGCTTCGCTTCATCTTTAAAACTCCCGCTTCATCCGCGCATTTCGCACGCTCGCGCCAGTCTCCCGTGCATCACACATGGATCAGGCAAATATTAGCGCGTTTCACCGCCCGTGTTTTACTACGCCCTGGTAGAGACGATAACAGCTGCGCTGTATGTGGTGTGAAGGAGATACAACTATACCTGAAAAATGTAAACAGACAGAACGTCGCAAGTTCTGTTTACGTTTTCAAGTAGTTGTATAACTCCTCCACACGGCATGCAGCTGTCAGGTTTGATTGAGCACTATTGTGGAGGAAGATGGTTGTAAATCAGTAGTGATTGATGAGAGAAACGAATGGTAATTCTCCGATCCGAGTTCGCATTATCCATTTTTCATCTATATATAAGTTGTTTTTCACTGTCGCGGAAATTTGATACAAATTTATAGTAAATTGTTTTTCAAAACGTTGTAACTCGCGCCCTGAATGACCAATTATCGTGACATTTTCGGTATGGACTAATTTGAGCATGACGATTTCAATTTTGAGGTCCACTGGCAACTATCTGTAGGTAGTGAAATGAAAAATTGATGGCGTCAACTCGGATCGGAGAATTTATTTCACATTAATCATATACGTAGTAGTTATGTAGTTCGTGCCCAATAATAAAACTGAGAGATGTGCATATATTCTTGTTCCTATCCCCACCTTATTTCCCGCCAGTTACATGCTGCCATGTAACGCTTGTATGAAACCCACAAATTGGTATAAGTGAAAAATGACCAAAAGATTAATTACCCGAAACTGTTCTGCCTTCATTCTTGTCTTGACCGCTTGAAATGTTGCATTTAGATTTTGAAATATTTCTGGTAACTTCGTTTCAAAACTACAAGTTAAAACAGATATTCCTTAAAAATTCTTTCTGAATGTTATCTTTCTATTCGAGTTAAATACACACCTCTTACGATAAAACGATGCATTGCGAACTTTGGCAGTACAGTTATAAAGAACATCAGATACCGCATATAGTCGGGCAATCTAAGAAAAACACAGGAAAATGAATGGTGTCTAGCTATGTTATTCATATATATATTTGTAACGGTAACATTAATGCCATTTAAAAACACATAAATGATTCATGCATATTTCAACGTATCAAAGCACCCATAATATGAAGACGTGATATGTTGCATAAATTTACGCCAAAAGTGAAAATTTATTACTTACTTTCACAGTGAGCGGGGTCTCGAGAATAGATAATGACTCAGACATACAGTCCGAAATCTAAAAAAAATTAATTACCTTTGACGTGTTTTCTGAGTAGTTAACTATTTAAACATTTAACTCGTACAAATAAATACTCGACCACAAATTCATATTCACACAAATAATTAATATACTGTACATACCATGCATGGAATGCTTTTTTACAACATTAATAAATAAGAAGTTTTTCTTAAATATCAGGAGACTGTAATGACGTGTTCTAATTCGCAATATGACCAAGTATGATCACTATATATCTCATTTACTTCTAGTTTAGTTCAGTGCCACTTATTATCTATATGGCCACGTCATAGTTCATATAAGTCCTATTAATACCTCATCAGCGGCTTCAGCATGATCAATACACCATGTCATACATTCTGCAATCTTGCTTCTTTCTGATATCAATTCTCGTAACATGTTCTCCAGTTTGTCTCTTTGTCTACAAACCAAGAACAATTTATACAATTTAGAATAATTAAGATAATGGTGTATGTGCATGCTTGAGTTTTGCATGAATGTATACGGTAAAACTCGGCTCTAAGTTATATCAATTTTCACTTTCTGCTTCAGTTTAAAAATTCCAAGTACTTCATGAAGAACTTTGTATCGAAGTAACAACAAACACTTCTGGCAGTTACTTGAAACGTGTGTACAGTATATTCAGCAAATGACTACGTATTACAACATATGAACGACAACAAAGTGAGTTCTGCATTTCAAATGAGATGAGCAAATTGAATGTAAGCAAAATAGTACTCAGCCGACACATGTTTACGCCTGTTTCATTAACCTACAACTAATTAGTTTCTAATGTAAGCATAGAGACTTAGAGTGGGAAGGATTAGTTGATAATGTAAGCATAGAATGGGATGGAATAACCATGCAAGCACTCAAATTAAATATGTAAGTAAATACACAGTTAAATAGTTGATTAGCTCAACTAACTCAGAAGTGACACCAGCCTCAAGCTCCTCCCTAACAAAAGACATCACAAACCTGTCACCGAGCAGTCCTTTTCTTGATGATTTTGAAGAAGGTTTTGTTTCAGATTTTGGTTTCTTCTCTTCTTTAACTTCTTCGATCACATCTTCTTTCTCTTTGTTATTCTCTTCTAAATACGACGTACAGTTGGGTGGTCTCCATACTGAACTATTTTCAAACATTCGAAATGCTTTTGTCTTCCATTTTGTTTGACTGTCACCCTACACAGAGATGCACAGACAGACAGCAGTTATTTGTAAACAAATGTTGAGAATGAATAAAAAGAAGAGTTTGAATGGATGTTAGAAAATATGCGATGTGAGCATGGAAGAACGTGTAATTGAAAAGGAGGAAGGCAAATAAAGAATAAGAAGAAAGAGATGAAAGACATTGGACCAACGGAAGAAAGTGAAAGACGTACATAGAGAGGATACACAAGATGGCTCGATCCCTAAATAAAGGGAAAGAAGAAACGATTGGATAACAAACACAGCCAACGCCAACCTTTGGACACAATATTTTACCTGAAGTATTGAGAATAATTTCCATCTGTAGTAAATATGTTCTGGACTTTGGTTGTCAAACATAAACCTAAACCAAAATCATTAACAAATGTCTGTAATTAGCATGAGAATCACTATAATCAGATCTAGAATTACGAACTCTTAGCGTTGTATTTTACAGAAAGATTTAACTTTACTTCATTATTTTATGATCGTTTCATTCACATTTTCTACAATACATGCGGTGTGTGTCTATGGAACACAAAAATGATTATAGACTTATAAACTTTATAAACTTTATTTCTATAAATAGACCTTTTTCATAATGACGTCAAACGCGGCAAAAAGCAATATATTAATGCGATGTCCCATTGGACAATTTTTAGTGACAATTCGCGAGGTAAGTCGTTCCCGCGCCAATCAAATTTCGTGTACCATCATTCACAATGCGAATTTCCCTTTTTATTTATTTCCCCTAAACTTTACCCTATTTGTGGCTATTTACTGTAATAAAGCTGACCTGAATTGATGGTTGTTTATTTCTCTGTTCATAATCATTGCTTCAAAGATAGGTCCTTCCATTATCACGAATTCGATAGTTCGATGGATCAAATGAACGATTGGCCTGTAACATTAAACTTCAGAGTTAATTCATCAACATTCTTTGCAAAGTTCCTAGAAATCTCGCATTATTTCCACCACAATCCCCTCCCCACTTTCCTCTGCCACATATACCCTACTTCAAAATCATTTAATCATTCTTTAAAAATGTCCAATTGGTGTGTTATACGTCTAATAAGTGTCTAATTCACTAAAGTCTTTGTCTTCGCAACTATAAAAATCTTTACTCTTTAAGTAGAACATGAAACCAATTCATATGCACATCCTCCATGTGTGAATATGGAAGTATAATATTTGCCACGCCCGATTTGATGATAATACAAAGTTGGAGACTAAATATGTTTAGGACATGTGAAGTGTGAAGACAAAACATGGAAAACTAACATATAGTTATTTAAAGTATTGCGAGAACGTGTTCCTTGTAGGTTTGCACGCATGGCGAAATAAATTGGTTCGCTTTGTCGTAAAACACCACATTTATTTGTTTAGCAAAGCATTCGATCCCTACGTCCAGATCTTAATCACTGTTGATAAGATTATTTAATTCTATTATTTGCACTAATGAAGATATGGGTTTGCGGATCAAGTGATCTACAAAACAATTATACAGGATGTGTAAAAAAAGTGTACAGTTATAAAATGTCCACTAAACTGAAAATTCCGCAAAATTTGGGACAACTTTATGTTAGCATGGTCTATCACTTAAAGTGCCTATATCATGGTTTTGGAGTTTGCATATCTCGAAAGGTTAGGGTATTTTAAGACACTTTGCAATATATTTTGTTATTGAAAAATTTCATCTTGATGGATTTATTAGCTCTTAAAGTTACCGGACATGACGTCAAAAGGAGAATTTTGTTGCAATATGATACAAAGGAAAACTGATTTGCAATTCTCCTTTTGACGTCATGTCCGGTAACTTTAAGAGCTAATAATAATAAATACATCAAGATGAAATTTTTCAATAACAAAATATATTGCAAAGTGTCTTAAAATACCCTAAACTTTCGAGATATGCAAACTCCAAAACCATGATATAGGCACTTTAAAAGTAATTTTTCGAGTGCAGAGGGCTGTTTTTCAAAACAACTTTAAAATGGTTTGCGCACAAAAATGGAACGTCCAAAACGCAATTTGAATTCACGGGGTGCAATTGTGGAAGGTAGCTAGTTCATGAACAATCAAAGTACCAGGCAATTTGATGTAAATTACGTCCAACGCGACACCTCTAAAATTTGGACTTTTTCCATAGCATGACTGATGCATGGTTGCGCGTTTTACTTAATGTGTATCAAATTGTCTGGTACTTTGATAGTTCATAAAACACCTTCCAAATTTGCACCTTATGAATTCAAATTGCGATACCAGAAGACTCCAAACTACCCATACTAACATAAAATTGTCACAAATTTTGCGGAACTTTCAGTTTAGTGCATGGACATTTTAGAACTGTGCACGCACTTTTTTATACACCCTGTATTGCGTGACGGGCTAGCGAAACTTGAATGATGTATTTCCTAAATTATGCAACGCTGCGCTAAATCTGTTCAATCTGCTCAATTTGTACTGGGTAAATTTGTACTTTGACATGGTGTATATACATTACGGATCTCACCCAACTGTGGCATCGCATAAAACAATCGTATCACCGTCACTCCCACAAACGTCTACGACCGCACTTACATATTTTTGCATGTTTACAATTCAAATTTTAAACAGCCAATCCGGTTCTTGGTAACAACTACAATTACACGTCGATTGGCTGTTTAAAATTAGAATTGTAAACATGCAAAAATGCGTAGATGTGGTCATTGACGTTTGTGGGAGTGGCGGCGATATGAAATTTTGATGCGATTCCATAGTTCGGTGAGATCCGTAATAAGAAATAATTTTCAATAAAGATTTTACTAAGATTACTTAAAAATTATTATTGGCAAGTGTGCAATGAAATGAAAAGTATATGAGAATAGCAGTTTTCTGATTTGCAGAGGTTTTCAGAAAATGAAATTTGATCAAAAAACATATTTTTTTGACTGACTGTTTGTTAGTTATATTATGTACAACAGATTTAACGCTTAGGATTTGTTAGGAACATAAAATAATCACTCATTATACCATTGGCATCAGTTCAAGTGTTAAACGCGCGTGAACGGGCTTTAAAACAAATGTTGCCATTCAACAACTACCACAGCTAGTTCCCAGGCCACTTTCGATAACAGCGAGTCGTAATGTTATTATCACAAATATATACTGATGGTGAACGAATGTTTTAAACGGGTTTTGATTTACATTAATTCGTATAGGGAAAACTCAAAAAAACTGAATAACGGCAAAACATATTGACAAAAATTAGTTATATCGGTTGCCATGATTGCTTCCACTGTGGTGCAGGTGTTTTCGATAACCTGGTTTGATTTCTACAACATATATGATTTTTTATGTCTTAGATTCCAATGTACCGCAAGTTTCCCAATACTCCATTTATTTTATTTAGTAATGAACCAATAAAGGGAGACTCTTATAGATTTTTGGTGATAAAAAAGTTTAGTTTTTTAGTTATGGTAATTCCGTTACCGTAGGTGATCGCCTTAATTAACTGTATAAGCTATTAGCCAATCAGGAGACATACACAGTAACTATTACGTAACACGAAATTTGTTAAATAGTGAATGTAGTTGACTAACAACATTTCCTCTGAAGTAAAGAAACAACTACATGCAGCATAATCTATTTTTGACGCGTTTAACTCTTGTTCCATGCGAATGGTAATGAAAAATGGGAAAATAAAACAATATAAAAAGAACTGTGAAAAATACTTGACCAGAACAACACCAGCATATAGAAAAGCGCGATCACCTGTTGTCAAGATGATCTATGGTTACATATACTGTAAAATACCTTTCTGTCGGGATAACAACTTTGACAACCGCGTTGGCTAGAGTCTACAATTGTACCACAGAACATTTCGTGAGTAACACAATCCAACATTAGCAATTTCAGTCCTTACTGATTAATGCTGCTACTTAGTCATGTAGTGAATGCTGTTTTTAGAGTGAATTACTTTAACGGTAATAAAATTCACTGCTCAGATACAGTATGAAAAAGCGAAGCTACTTTTCAATTTAGAGAATGATATATAGTTAATAGTTAAATCAATCTCTAAATTGCACCACAGCTATCAAAGTATTACAATACGCAGTGTATAATACTTGAGCATACAACACATTACAATATAAAACCACATTTTCACAGTAATTTACAACAATTCCTACACTGCTTGAACAAAAATTCCCAATACAGTTGGTGCATATTATAATACGCTAGAATGCACAAAAAAGCCCTTGAACATTCAATTATTTCACTTTCTATCAGTTGTCAAGCCAAGATAGTTGTTACTGTGTTAACGAAACTGTCTCAAAAACGATACAGGAGATTCCCTAATACTTAAGGGCGGTCTTTTTCTTGTAGTATAATTGTGAAATTAATGTTGAAATCATGTAACGTTATACACCGTGTTACAAAACATTGATGAAATGAATGAGTGAAGAAGTCATTCATGCAGCTACAATGCTGCTGGTATCTCCATAGTGGTTCTAGACTCCTTTCGCACACCAAATTGATTTTACTAAATATAACCCGACCTTATCACTGAATATACTAAATATACGCTACAGTAAGTTAAACATAGTATGTCGTAATAACTAACCTTACTACTGATGCCATTCATATCAATTATTTCAGGTGCATCGTCATTGTGAATGTCTTTCACTTTCCCAGGTTGGGCATTGAATGGCAAGCCTGAGGGTGGGGGTGGTTTATTGGCTTCCTGCATTTCTGGAGGGATATAGATGGGATGTGGAGGGATGGGTACAGCTTTACCCCACCCAAGTTTCATCTCATATCCCTGGATTTCCTTGCCTAGAAGAACACATCGGATTCTAGGTTTAGATATTGCTTGAAATTCTCGGGTTTCATATGACGTCACGTGGGGGTCAAGGGTCTGGGGTAAAGGACGCTTTTATATTGTTTATATTTTTTGTATTGGCTTATATAATAGTCGGCGAACTCATTTACATAAGATGTGTTGCATGACAGCCAATTTATACAGAAAACGTCGAAGCTATGTCTTTTCCCGGAAAATCTGAATACTTGAACGAAGAAAGAGATGGTCCGTGACAAAACAAAGTGAATATTCCACCTTTGCACGGAGTTTCATCGTGTCTGCAGGGACAAAGCCTGGCCCGGACAGGCCACCGTACCATTTAAGTGTTGATTCAAACAAACCTTTCAAGGCAATGAGTGCTTTATCTCCATCTTTTCTTTTCATAAAAGCAACAAAACCACAATTTCTGTTTCGAGATTTCTCTTCTTCAGTTCTTGGCCACATGATCTTCACACTGGCCAGCGGTCCATACTGACCAAATAATTTCATCAATTGCTCTTCATTCATCTACATATTAAACATTAAACTTTTCTAACTATTGTGCAGCGTGGTGGTTAACCGGCATTTCTCAGAATTAGAAAACAATCGTAAGTAGTTAATCTTATGTAGTGGTCCTGCATCGATGACAAATAAATAGAATTGACAGATATAGTTTAATCTGTTTGCTTCTATAACTGCAACACACCAACTTGGGTTTCAGTACCGGTATCGATATTTGGAAAAAGTATGGCATACTGACATACCGTCACACTTATTTAGCGAATGCGTGTTCCACCGTAAATCACTAAATGCCTTTAATAATCAAATATTCAAGGGGAAATATAAATTGTGTACCGTACTAACATACCTTACACGTTTTGGCCATTCTAACCTACAGTACATGCTATGTATTTCATGAGCATATGGAGTCAATCTCGTTTCCAGGGTCTTCCCTCTTGTGGAGGTAATGAAACAGCAAACATTTTCCACATCACAAATACGAGTGTATTCATGGCTAGTGGGTTTTCCAACAGCCAATTTACGCAACTATCATCGGTATATTATATACCAATGCAACACTGTATTAAACGTACACACCTCGGGACTTATGTTTCCAATGTAAAGATTTGTTGTATTGGGATCACCTGTGTCATAAGAACCATAACTGTACGGTTCCTCTAAAATTGGAAAGGATTGAAAATGACACAATTATATTGACTTTATAGTTTGTTTCGTATTTTTACGAAATTCGAAACACTTAATAGTTGAGGTGTACATATACCTTTTGCTGGAGCTGATAGCAGCGTTGGGAAAGAATCCAAAACATCTCTGGGAATATCATCGAGTTCTCCTGTCTTCAATTTATGACGAATCTCTCTCTCCTCTTGTTGTCTAAATTAAATAACAGGCAGAACTAGACTAAATCCTAGGGCTGCGATAACTAGGGGGATCAAGTTGAGAGAGCACCAAAAATTCAATACAGTTTCACTGTTTGAAAAAACATGACATCATAGTGCCAGGGCCACAGATAGAATTTTGTCCCAGGCCCTCCGACGTAATGAACATACAAAGTATTTCTACAATGAGAAAAGTTATTTTTATCATTACAATGTTGTATCGACATTATATTTTACTTTTTTAATTCTTCTTTAAAGAGCTCAAGGTTGCTTTTCTTCTTTTCTTTTTCCTTTCGTTTCTTCAGTGACTCCTAGAGTATATGAAAACAGAGTTTAACATGGGAAAGGAAGGCATTGCATAAAATCAAACATGTCAAGCATTTCAATTATAGTACTCTGGTAAAATGTATAGTACAGCCCTAATACTCTTGGTTGCACTTAAATGAAAATACAGTATACTGTATGGCAACCTTAACCCGCTGAGTGCCAGTAGTGGCCCAGTACCCTCCCCTTGACAAGTAAAATCATCTGGCGTTAGAGTAAAATAATAAGGTAGGACGCATTAGGGTACAATGCAACTTAATGGCCAGAGTTAACTAGACACATGGGCAGATAGTATTAGAATAAACTAACTAAGGCACATTAGGGCACAATGGAACTCAAAGAGCTTAAAATTTGTTGCATACTACCTTTTGTTTTCCAGGTAGGGCTGGTTTTGTTGAGGTTGCTTGTTGAATAGAAGCTTTCAAAGTGTAAAGTTGACCAGCTTTCTCCGATGCTGCTTCTGTAAAATATAAAATATAAAATGTACAAAACATAATTGCACTGCTTTCAATCAGTGCCATTTAAAAATGACATCTTTAGAGTGGCTTGTGTATGTGTAATTATTGTATTGTGGTTCACTTTATACAAAATGTATTGTTGATCAGAGGTTACAAAAATGTTGTATGCTCTACAGCTAAGTTGGCATATGTTTCAGTGACGATGACATACAATTTTCTAAACTATACTTACACCCAATGACCCATTTTCTCTGTTGTATTTCTTTCCTGTGCAGTATACAGGGTGAGTAAAAAACAACTGACACCTTTGTTATTCAAATTATCCGCGAAGGTATCAGTTTTTTTTACTCACCCTGTAGAAGATTAGAAATACAGGGTGCCTCAAAAAAACCTAATCAAACTTCAGCACGCTATTGTGAGTAAATTACGTCGTAAACGCGGTTAATTGTTTGATATTAAGATAGATCAGGCTTTTAGCTGTTGAATGACACACTTTTCATGCAATGTGGAGAAGAAATGAGCGAATACGATGAAAAATCTTGGTCAAAATTGCATTTTTTAACATCTGCGCCTGAATAATGCATTGCGAAACAAAAGAAGCAGCAATTAATCACGAATGTGTCAAAACTGCATTTGTTGATAATTGTTTACATTTAAAACATAAGAACGAAGATTATGCTCCGATGCCTTCGACGTGATCACCGTCTCTCTCCATGCACAGTTGACATCGCCGTAACATTGCTTGGACTGCTCTTCTGATTATCGTTGGATTATTTTGCAAAGCATGAACTTCGTCACGAATGCGGTTCTGCAAATCGTTGAGATCAAGCGGCGACCCTGTGTATACCTTGTTCTTCAGGTATCCCCAAAGAAAGAAGTCACAAGGGTTAGGGGATCGCGGTGGCCATTCCACGCCATGGTAGAAGGCAATGACACGGTGACCAAACAGTTCTCTCAGACGATCACGGATTGCAATTAAACGATGTGCCGGAGCACCATCTTGAACCCACCAGAGATCTCAGAATGCTCCCCCCTTTTGTATCTGCAAATGCTGCTGAAGTTGTGGTACCACGTCGTTGTTTAACATTTGCAGATAATTCAATCCATTTACATTTCTGTCAAAGAAGAACGGCCCGATTATCTGGTCGTTGCCACAAAGTCCGATCCAGACTGTCAATTTGTGTTCACTACAGTTGACATCGAAATTAAATGCGGGTGATTGTCCTGCAGCATCATACTCCCTAACGTTAATCTCGGGGAAGGAGTTGATGTCGGATGTGCATGCGGTAAGGGTGCATGTTCAGATCTAATCTCGTTATGCGGTTGAACGTGGCATGCGGTAGGCCAATACCATTCCGTCTTGCGCTGGTGCCTGTAGGATGATCAGCTGTCTGACCGCCTCAATGTTCGCTTCTGATTTCCCCGTGCGCCTTCTGCCAGAATTCCCCTTTTAAAGTCGTGCCATGTTGAGAAAACTTTCTTACATTTGACCAAAGGCGGTTGCCGCTCAGGAAAACGTTGCCTGAAACTCTCCCGTGTCTCAAAAAAACAAACCAAATCCAACTTCAGCACGCTATTGTGCGCAAATTACGTCGTAAACGCGGTTAATTTTTGTTGCATGGCAACTTTCATATAGCTCTAAATTTCGTGTCGTGGCGGTGGTGAGCGTACCAGTCACGTGGCAGATTCGTAAAAGACGAGAAATACCGAGTTTTTCCGACGAGCATTTCATGCCGGGTCTTCGGCGTCGAGGAAACGCAAAGAAATATTGATTATTTGCCAAAAATTTACATACAGTAATTGAGCGCCTTAGAAAAATAAAGCGAGGTAGGTAAAGCTTTGCTGCTTTTAACTTACCTTATATTCTGTTATTTGTTGTGATTTTGGAGCCGTTGTGCTAGCACTGATTATCTATCAATTATCAGGCGGTTATATTTATATATCGAAGCCTCAAAGCCCACGCTATCAAAATATTCGATTTTTATATACTCAAACTGAAACGGAGCCATTGTGCTCGCACTGATTATATTCTGTGCAAAGCTTCAAACTACAGCACATTTTGTAAAAATAACATGAAATATAAATATCAAACAAAATTTGAATTATAAATAGTATTGAAATTTGATACAACGAAATAGCAACCATTGTGAAGTACGCATAAGATTCAACATGACATTCGATATAGTGTAAATTAACTCGTTTCAATCACTCAAACGACCATACAGGTCATATTAGCTGACTAGTGCCTTTATGCTTTTTCTACTTCGACAATTTCAATCATAGTTTAATTAATAATCGTTTTCAATCTATTATAGTAATTCACCGTTTCCACGGATTTTTTATACCTTTAAAAAGTTACGCAATAAAGCTAAATCTATAGGAAATAACGTTTTTAGTTATAAATTTGTAAAGAAAATTTAACAGTCAATCGCATTCGATAAAACCTTGACACACCTTGACCTGGTTATTACCATCGCTTGCAACTAACGATGAACGGTCGTTCATAAAAAACATTGCCTATTCGCGTGAGAATATTAAGTTTTCTTATTTTAACATAAAAGCTATTTTTCAATAAATATATTGATATTAAACTTGTTAAATCAATATTTTAAGTTTCACGCCAGCTGTACCAAAGGTCATGAACTTATAAGCGCTATAGCACATCATAAGTTTCAGAAGGCATGCAACATGTACGCACTGCGTACCTATTTTTTTATATTAAGAAAGATCAGGCTTTTAGCTGTTGATTGACATACCTTTCATACAATAAGGAGAAGAAATGAGCGAATACGAGTTGGATGAAAAATATTGGTCAAAATTGCATTTTTTCACCTCTGAGAATTGAGTGTAAATAAGTCACTTGAGAATTAGGTTGGTCAGTTGCATACGCATAATTAATTATTGCAAAGATGGTTCAACTCACAACAGAACAATGAATATTTGTTGTTAAAATGTTTCATGAAACTGAAAGTTTGCAGAGACTTGTAAAACTGTACAAATTTACAGTTTTACAAGTGTTAATTGATTAGGTTTTCACAGCACGAGAAGGCAAGCAAGCAGTTGACTGCAAATAGCAAATTGCAGTCAATTGTATACAAAACAACTAAACATTCAAAACCTTTTAAATTACTAGATAACTGTGCAAGTGAATGTGAAATTAAATTATTAGACTAATTTGAGCATGAAATTTTCAATTCTGGCATGCATTTTTGCAAAATGTTTGTTGCTTGAAGGATTTTCAGGTAAACACAAAGAAGCAACAGATCAGTGTATCTATGTTATCATACGCTTCCTTAGATACTTGGCATATGCCAAGAATTTTCAGCGTACAATTGTACATCTGTTTTTTAATCCCTATTGATGTGAGACCAACTAACTCATTGTGCAAGACTCTCACCTTGATGAGTAATATCATCTGGCATTAGACAGAGTATAGTAATAAAGTGTCTGTAGTGCATTGGGGAGCATTAATGGGTTAAAGTCTATATGTGATGGGATTATTTAAAAGGCCTTCATAGTCCTCATACATATACAGGAACCATATTAGTACACAATTGTGTTCATGTGTGAGATAGGTAAAGGGTTTATGGCATGAGATGATGGGTGAAAAATTGTTAGTTTGATACATACAGGATGTCCCACATTTTAAAACTGGTACCAAACACTGTGGACCAATGAATATATAAATATACTATATAAATTGTCAAATTTGGTAAATCTGTAAACCCAAATTTTCTGTAATATCTTTAAAACAAAGGCAAATTTTCTGTAATACCTTTTGCCTGACCAGGATTAACAACATTTCCACGTACAAATGTCTTTCCTTTTGATGCTGCCCCTTCAAATGATGCTACAAATTCTTCAAAAACGTCAGCACAATTTGCTTCTTCAACCTATATATGACCAATTGATGATTTGATCATGGCAAATTTTAAATGCAAGCAAGTTGTCTTTCAAATTTATAACTAATAAGAGGACAAATTTGGCAACAGGCACTAAAAAAGTTCTTAGACTAAATTTGAGTATCTAGTTTAGATCTTTTTAAATTTCATACAGTATTAATTACATGAACAGAAATACACATTAAATGATACACAAAACTAAATGCTGTTCTTTTATTCGCTTAGTTATATGTATCACTGAAAGGGATTTCAACTTTTCCATGTGTATATGTGCATATGAGTGAAAAGCAGCCATATTAAAGTAGTAAATCCTATATATCAACTGCTTTCAATTTATAAAAAAAACATTTACAACCATTTTAAATGTGTTGGTACATCGTTGAAAAGTATGTGTTGTTCATCCCTTGGAAACACATCATTGCTTTTCAGTGATTGATTAGTGCTTTTTACATGTATACAGTACATATCGTAATTATGAAACATGAGAATGTATCATAATCTTAAAAGATACGTGTATGTATTTACATGTATGTATTTTCTAAGTGTCTATGACATCACAAGGCTTGATGCCCGCCAGGAATGCTTGTCATAGTAGTCATTGTCCGGGAGAATTAAACAATTCAAAATGGTCACTATCGAATCCTCAAGCCTTGTGACGTCATTATGCATAAGGGCTATTAGCTTGCCTCCATATAAACACTTTCTAAAATCTTAGGGGCATTCTGTTTTCAAAATTTAAAGATCTCCAGTGAAGAACATTTACAACATGGGTCAGTGAAGAAAAATCCACATATCCCTCAAGGAAGAAATTGGAAGTTAGTCTCCCCCCCCCCCCCAGTGGCATGGCAAACTCGATGGTGGAGACTAACCTCATGTATTTCATGTTCTGCATCATTAATTTTCTTTGAAATATGTGTGTATATGAATATAAGCCCCCATTATCAAGTTTGCTACGCCACTGCTACCCCCTTCGGACATCCAGGCACATTTTATTATTATCAAAAGTAGATTCTCCTGGATGGCAGAAATTTCCTTCACAGGGGGAACCAAATACAGCTTTGGCCCTTCTTGTAATTCTCTAGTCTGTCTGGTGTATTCGCATTACTCCCCTTGATGAGGTAAATTGTCTGGCATTAGACAGAGTGAAATAATAAAGTAGGGTGCCTCAGGGTCAGGCCTCGAATTTCCCTGAAATCAATCGACGGCAATGGCAGTAACAGCTGCCTACGGCAATTTTGGCAGTTTCCACAGCATTTTTCAAATTACTGTAAAAAACTTTACTTTACTTCGGATTTTTGACAAGCTAGAAACATGTCTACGTATTGCTTTAGTGTTTTTTTTTTCGAAGAAAACTGAGACTAAAATAGTGATTTACACATGATTTGATCAACATCTGAATTCAGGTATCAAAGTAGTAATGCACAGTGAATTATAGTATAAAAATTGCACTATACGGCAAAAAATTGCCGTTGTTGCAGCAATGATCCATGACATTTTGTTCTCCCTCTAAGGCAATTGCTGCGATAAAATTTGAGCCCTGCTCAGGATGCATTGCCACTTAAAGGGTTAACCTATTTGGAGGTGTGTTTACAGCAACATCTCCTGTCTAGTGGTGTGATACTGTCATCTGTCTAGCAGTCCAGGCATAACACAAGTTTAATTTGGTCTATACTATGGAATGTAATTGACTTTGGATATGAATGCATGTAATGTATTGTAGTGTTATATGACCTCCCTTCCCCTAACTATATGGAAGTGTTTAGCTGCCAGCTGCATTCTACACGACTGCCTCGTTCTTTGAATAACCGCTTTTATCTGGTTCTTCGATAGTCAAATAAAGCTGTCTTGGGTAAATAGAGATTTATTTAATAAAGAACAAGGGGGGGGGGGGAGGGGGTCATATACTACCATATCACAGAATAGAGACAAACAGAAGATCAACTTCTTGGTTTTTCCTATGATTTGGGCATAACCGTAATTCGTCATCAAAATGCTGACACCATGGTCCTAGCCAGTGCGCTCATGAGAGGCATTCATCTCCCCCCCTGATAATATTCAAAATGGTGGACGTCCAGGGGTTGAATGCATAGATATGGTTGAATGCTTCTCATAAGAGCATGGCGTCAGCATTTTGAAGACAAATCATTGCAAAACATGGCATGGCAGTGGTTATGCTTTTTAACCTTCTGTGTGTCTTTATTCTGTGCAGACGGTATGGAGGTTGTACTACAAAATCATATTAATATATAATCATACATATGTTATAAACAGAAAATGGAAACATAAATAACAGATCTAAGTCTTTACCTTTTTCTTTTGCTCAACCTCCTGTTTTGGTTTGACT